AAAAAAAAAAAAAAAAAAAAAAAAAAAAAGAAAGCACCCCTAACGGCAAACGATCCCATTCCATACCAATATAAGCTAACTTTTACGCTATCCAACTAAAACTCGCACTAAACACACTGAAGACTTTACAAGGTCGTCTCTTAAAATGATGAAGTTGACGCTGCGCAGGGACGACGACAAGCACGGGCGGCGGGAGCGCGGCTACTCGGGGCCGCTCACCGACTTCAGGGAGAAGAGCAACTTCCGCCCGACCGTGAAGTTGGACTACGTGGACGACGACGGGCGTCCCCTCGCGCCCAAGGAGGCCTTCCGCTACCTGTCGCACAAGTTCCACGGGAAGGGCCCCGGCAAGAACAAGCAGGAGAAGCGCATCAAGAAGGCGGTGCAAGAGGGGGTCAGTGCCTCCGACACTCCATTTTATTCTATAGGCAAAGAATTGGAGTTGTCAATAAATAATTTTATGAATTACTTATTACAAAATATCCCAATTTTCGTTCTTAAGAAAAGTAATTTAAAAGCGAAAATGATATTTAAAAAAGAAATAATTTAACGGGAGCTCACCCGCAGCACGACGTCCAGTCACTTATTTAATTAGTCAAGTTCCACGTTCTCTCGTTCACTGTTTGCCTGTGTCTGCTGCTCCACAGCTAATGAAGAAGATGAGCTCGACGGACACTCCGCTGGGCACGCTGCAGATGCTGCAGGACAAGCAGCGGGAGACGCGCTCGCCCTACGTGCTGCTCAGCGGCGCCAAGCGTGACGCGCCACACTAGCACCACCCACATACTTGTTGCGATGACGATCTAATGTCACATTCAGTTTGATACCGACTTACAAATTGTAATATCAATTCATAATTAAATCAAATAAAAATATAATGTGCTCCTGTTTCTTTGATCCTAAGATTGCGCAATTAGCTATAACAAGTGTCCCGGGCAGGGGACGGGGGGAGGCGGAGCCGGGGATCCCCCTGCCTCCGCCCGATAACTGCAAAGAGAAGTGAATTGTACAATTACATTCAAATAAATTGATAAATGTAGTGGATTGTTTGTTGTTTTATTTTGAATATTAGTTGGGTAAACCTCTGAAGTTCAACGTCGACAGATAAATAAACAATGAATGTATTGAAACGCATCTGCGATGTGAGCTTGTCGAGCTGCACTCTACATTACTCATTACGACTCTCGTTATCCTGAAAAAATCTCAGAAGTCTGAGAAGAAGTTCATCAAGAAATTCTATCCGTCTACATATTGTGTCTGAAATGTCAATCATTTCTTAAGCTCATTTTGCAAAAGTTTATTACAAAGTATTTAATTAAAATTATTACCTAATGACTATAGTTATATATACCTAGTCAGGTCATAATTCTGTCACATGTTTAATGTAAAATAATTGAAACAAGTTTATTCATTATGTAACCATTCATATACCAAAATGAACTTAACAAAACATAGATTCTTATGACACTAAAGTTTATTCAAAATGACCTCCGTGATTTTGAATACAGGCCTTCAATCTGCGCGGCCAGTCGTCTATCGCAGCACGAACGAGGTCCATGTCAATATCGGCGGCTGCCTTAATCAAGGATGTCTTGAGTGACTCCAAATTGGGATGAGGCTTTGAGCACGCCTTTTCCTCCAAGTGTTGCCATATCTTGTAATCTAACGGATTCAAATCTGGACTGGAGGAGGGCCAGTCTTCGTGCCGGATGAAGTCGATTTCACGCGCCGCCAGCCAGTCTTGTGTGCTCTTCGCTCTATGAGCTGGCGCCGAATCTTGTTGGAATACCCAGTGCCTGTTATTGAACATGGTATGAGAAACAGGTTCCACAAGGTTCGTCAGGACTGTATTTTGATACACAACTGCATTCGTTTTTACACCTTTCTCACAAAAATGTACCTCTGTTAAGCCCCAATAAGAAACTCCCAACCATACCATGAGCGAGGATGGAAAATGACCTCGTTGGACACGCGGAATACGGTTGCTCGCTTCTTCACTACTGTGTGCGTACACCTTATCATTTTGTTTGTTGTAGCTCTCTTCTACGGTAAAAAATTTTTCATCCGAAAAAAGAATTTCCCGATATTTTTTTCCCGCGTACCGCTTCAACAAAGCGCGGCATCTCTTCAGTCTCAGGTCCATTAGACGAGCATACAAACGATGTCCTGTTTTTCTTCGATATGCCCGAAGCCCTAAGTCTTCATTTAACACCCTTTTCACCGTGGTTCTGCTTAACCCCATCTGAAGGGCTAGCAGTTTCTGCTTACGTTTGGGATTTCTTTGAATTCGCGCCTTCACAGCTTTTATCACTGCTGGAGTCCTAACAGACCGAGGACGACCACTTCTTGACCTGTCATCTACACTAGAGTCTTCATTGTATCGTTTGATGGTACGATAAACGAATCTTTTGGTTATATTCAAATTTTTCAGTATGTTCAAAATTTGAATTGGCGCGTAACCGCAACGATGCAAATCAATAACTGCAACACGGTCATCTTTAAGCGTCCACTCCATATTTAAAAATGAGTAAAATTCTAAAAGTATACATTTTTATTTTCATGAACAATTCGAAATTCGAATTCAATAAACTTTTTTGTGGCCAGCATTCTAAAAGAAAAGTTTTTACTGTGTGACAATACTTATGACCTGACTAGTTATATGTCTATATTATTGTCCTTGTAGACAGTTGAACATACGGCCCACCTGATGGTGAGTGGTTGCCGTCGCCCATGGACTTCAGCAATGCCAAGGGGCAGAGCCAAACCGCTGCCTACCGCTTAATACTCTCCATAAGCCTCGTTTGAAGAAGGACATGTCATGGTGTCGAGATGTTGAACTACCGTCTAATCAACATAGTGACTGCTTACAATTATCAAAAAGAGTCCATTTTTCATTGCAAGTGACAATACTGTTCAAAACCCCTTTGCTTCTGTGTCTGTTAAGCAACGCAAGGCCCACCTGGACGCTTCCGTCGCGCTGGCGATCGTTCAGTTCGTGCGACTCACACTTATCGAGTTTTGTTACCTTACCAACTTGACACAAATGGACCAATATTGTTCTGATGCTAACGTTGAGAGCTGCGGCTGACTCAGTGGTAGAGTTCCGCCGCCTTCAATTCGTCGTTGTTGACTTTAGTTTTTAGGTGACTACGAAGTTCATTTTTTAGATCAAATTTCCATGTCGGAAGCATTCTAACCAACAACGAGTCGTGCGTTCATCTGTAGCGTTCACTCCACACACACACGTCATTACCGGTGTGAGACGAAGAGACGAAACTCTTATTTTTATCATATCCATATTGATGACAAAAACACAAATGTAGTGACTATAAACACTACCTAATCAATAAACAAACGACAGAATATGAAAACAGAATTCCATACTATGAAATATAATAAATAAAATTAAAAATTTCAGAATGTATTGGCATCCCTAGACAAATTATGTTACAAATGGCCAGTATTGTAAAACCGCCACTTTATAGGTAAAGACCCATTAAATAAAGTAAGTTGTAAAGAAATCTGCTGTCCTCCAATAAATTGCAGAGTACCTATATCTTTTTTAGGTAATATCCTGCCAGAGGCAAATCAGAGTAGTTGACGCCATAGATAATAACACTTGTTGACGCCCGTCAAAGAATAAAGAAATTACGTATGACACAGTAATTTATTAACATTAGAGAATATAAACATTACAAACACGTGCATCCTTTACATATTGTTTGGAGTATAATACCATTTACCGGCTCCATTGATGTAAAATATTATTATTGGTATATTATTTGGTAGCCATGGAGCATCGTCAAAGCCTGGAAGTGCCTTATCCGACAGATGTAGTGTCCTTCCTGCCCTACGTGTGTGAACAACTACAGACACCGTTTGGGATTCGCGTGCGAACGACAGTACAAGGTCAGTTCGTATTTATGCTATCGTCGTCCTAATAGTTTGGTATTTCTTGTGAGCGCGCGGAAAGAGGTAGCATATTGGAATCCAACAAAATATGTAAGTATTACTTGAATGTCTTTTAATTCCGGTTTAATCGGTACTTGTAACCCATATACAGAGAAGGGAATGTCGCTGACATCTTTTAATTTAGGATCTAAAGTCTCCATTACGTTAGCTCGTAGCTTCGTCAGGTCGAGGTCGCATACCCTTGTGTAATGAATAACAGCCGTACAAACTATTATTGTTGTTTTGGTCTAGTCCTGTTTTTTCTTGATGCGTCATCGGGAAAAGAAATAATTGAACAGAAGGAAACATCAGAAAACAAAGCGCAATTCTATTTATTTAGTATATTTATTACACTTCATGTATCATTTAAATGGTGAACATAATGTCTAAGGCATTCTCTATCAGTCAACCTATTCAATAATACATAAAAAATAAGCAGTAAAATTTCGGTTATTACCATATATTGTGGGGTTCATAGTGCAAAATGTATTTTCTAAATAATTTTTAAAAAACTATCTCGTTATCGTGTTGTAGAAGTACCGTGTTATAAGAAGGTTTTGGGGAATATTTCTTTTCGTGTTTGAGTGGAACCGTGTTGTAAAATATCGTGTTATAGGAGGGTTACGTGTATTATGAACGAAAATCTTAACATAACGAACCCACTTTCGCATTCATAATATTATAGTATCCGATTTTAGTTTTGATCAAAACGAATTATTTCACCAGAAGAGTACATAAGTAAAACTGAAGAAAAATCTAAAAAGATTAGATCAAAAACAACGTTGGTTCAACGAACATCGCGCACCCAACAGTCGCAAGACGTGGACACCGCCTCCGACAGCGCCGCAGCCCGGAACACGTTCTACGAAACAGGTGAAATCGTTATTACTGCTCTGTATGACGTTTCAGATCGACTCGTAGAACTTAAATTTAACAGATGCAGGGAAATACCGCGTCTACTAATGAAAATCATCGGCCTCTGCGTTCCCTATCAACCTTACTTGAGCAAAATTACGATACGATGGTCGCCCATGAGTGGAGTTGCTTTGTACGAAGTTGCGAAATTTTTACCACAGTCTCAAGTCACTGAAATAATACTGGACGATACCTCAGTCCCAGAGAACCACTGGATGCTTTTAGAACATCCTCATCTGAAACATTTGTCTCTTGATCGGTGTAAAATTTCTGACACTGATTGTATCGTGATTGCCAACAAACTGGTCTATCCTCTGGTCGCCTCTAAGATCTTGTCGATATTGTCTATCGCGTCAAATGACATCACAGACGTGGGGGCCAATGCGCTGGGTGAAGCTTTGAGAAGTAATCGCACATTACAACACCTCAACCTTGCCGGTAACGAGATCACTGACATCGGTGCTTCGAACATTCTGTGCAGCCTCTCAGAATTCTATTTAACGACAAATGAACTAAAAACTAAACGGCAACGGCTTCTAGAATACTTGAAGCTTAAAAAAGAAGTTTACGATAAGTGTCTTCTAGAATTAACAGCATCGTCAAAAGACAAGTCGCATGACGAATTCAGCAGGCCTAGTAAAAAAAAGACCACGAGTGCTCAATCAAAGAAAAGTGTAATGTCGGTTAGAGGCGAACCTAGTTCAGCGGATACTATATCCATGAGGGCTGATATGATGACCACCGAACTTATAGGCTCATACAGTGATCCTTACAGTAGCGAGGAGACCAAGGCTCGCGGTGAGTTCGTGTCCTGTGTCGGTAATATGTCACTGTGCTCATTGAATCTTTCGTTCAATAATTTGGGATTCGCGACCGTGAAGAATCTACTTAACGTTTTACAGTATCAGGAGACGCTATGTCAGAAAACTGGACCAGGTCTAATGAGAGTGCTGATTGAGGGAAACAATATCCCCGTGGAATGTGCCGAATACTTGCTGATGGACGAGTTGTTAGAGAGAGCCGTGAGTAAGGCGGTAAAACCGGTGCGGAAAATCGAACGAGGAAAGCCGAAAATAAAATGATGCATCCACACCCTATTCATTTCTATGGAGTTTTCTGTGTTAGTTATACTGAAATAAATTTTAGATAGATTAAAATGTTTTGGAGGTGTGTTATTTTATGTTTATAACATTGAAACTATTGTATGACAATTTCATAGTAAACAAGAATCGGTTTTTACTGCATCTTAATATTATGTAAAAACATGTTATTAGGTCGTTCTGATTCTTTCGTAATCTAAGCATTTCGCCTAACGCATCACCAGTACACGGGACTCCCCTGTCAACTCTGAGCAATCAAGCTCTTCTACCCGATGATAGGTTCTGTGACCACTGGGCTTGTGTAGCGGGGAATTCGAGGAATCGTCATGACTGAAGATCCTGTTCAGGGTAATCGGCCAATTTTATTAAATGATCATCATCTCAGCGGTCCTTTCGGTTTCAAATCAATCCGACATTTTGAAGGGGGTCAAAGTCACGTTCAAAGATCCCGTTACTTAGATACACACAAATCCAGTAAAAACGTGTTTACACGGGGAACTGCTGCGATCTAATTTTTTTTATTTTTTTTTATTGGTTAGATGGATGGACGAGCTCACAGCCCACCTGGTGGTAAGTGGTTACTGGAGCCCATAAACGTCTACAACGTAAATGCGCCACCCACCTCGAGATATAAGTTCTAAGATCTCAATATAGTTACAACGGCTACCCCACCCTTCGAACCGAAACGCGTTACTGCTTCACGGCGGAAATAGGTGGGGTGGTGGTACCTACCCGTGCGGACTCCCAAGAGGTCCTACCACCAGTGATAACGCAAATTATAATTTTGCGGGTTTGATTTTTACTACACGATGTTATTCCTTCACCGTGGAAGTCAATCGTGAACATTTGTTGAGTACGTATTTCATTAGAAAAATTGGTACCCGTCTGCGGGATTCGAACACCGGTGCATCGCTACATACGAATGCACCGGACGTCTTATCCTTTAGGCCACAACGACTTCATCCGTGTGGACTTAGATCTAAACTGCAACTGTTGTACAATACTACTTCTATTTGTATATGACGAAGAGTCTGGGTCCATGTCGTTTTTAAAATGATGACGTCAGCGTGGCTGACGTGATTCTCTTCATTATTTTATCATTGTCTTCCATAACGACAGTAATTAAAACTTACTTTTCCAAACAATTCCATTTATTAAATTTCTAGGATACAATAATAACAACAGAGAGGTCCACCCATGCGGCTGTTCGAGTCAGAATGTGTGGCGTTTTTTTTTTCCTAAGCTGACAGCTTTGAGAGGCTATGTCCTCGTAACCCTAACGTGAAGGTGAGCTCTCGGGGCTTAAATCTGGAGGTGTTGCTAACACTGGCCCTAGCAAGAGCAGTGCTTCGACCCACTGGAAAAATTTGGCGAGAAGCTCAGTGGGCTGTGTCTACGGGTTAATTTACTATCCGAGCCCTTCGTCGCAAGCGACGGGTTCGACGAAGACCGTGATCGGTGCTTGAGGGACCTAAAAGCACCGTTAGTGGATCGGGAAAATCCGAAATGACGTGTTTAGGGCGACGTCGACTGTTTACCATTCGGTCCACAGGAAGGTGTATGTAATTTCCGGCCGCCACGACAAGAGGGTTTTCACAGCACGATTCCTGAGATATGCAGCACGATCGCGATATCGGAACTCGGCTAACTTCGTGCTACGACAGAGCCTAGCCGATGAAGGCGCGTAGACGTCATCATACTTACCGACCAGCCTTCTTGAAGAGCGGTGCCCCCGTCCTAAGAATTGTCCATTCGTTTTCATTTGCTAATGTCAAGGGAAGTTTTCTAAATTGTTCTAAGACAACAAACGTGATTGTTGTACTCAATATTTCTCATAGCTTGATCACCCTATTCGCCCCTATGACGATGGTGATGTCGGAGAAGCTACAATTATTAAGCTTCTCCGACATAGTTATTATCTGTTTATTTTACTTAAATAAGATGTAATAGGATAAGCCGTTCTTGTGTGATTCGCTGTCGGACAAACTGATTCGTTATCCATGTTGTTTTTTAGCAAAAATCTATATATATAAAAATGAATTGTTGTTCGTTAGTATCGTTAAAACTCGAGAACCACTGGACCGATTTGGCTAATTTTGGTCTTGAATTATTTATGGGAGTCCAGAGAAGGCTTAAAAGGTATATAAATATGAAAATGCTCGGATTTAAATAAAAATAACAATTTTGTTTTTCCTTTGATGTGTCCCCCGTCCGACGGATTCCTTTTGTTTGTTTCAAGTTTATTTTATACAAAAGCTTAGGTCTTTTATTTATCTATTGAGACACTACGAAGTCTGCCGGGTCAGTACTTAATAAATAGGAAACCTATCTTCTACGACTTTGTTATAGGCAATTTTAATCAGATATAAATAAAAAATGTATGAGCTGCAGTATTTATTACGTATAAAATTACAAATGAATTAGAATTGGGTGTTATTTAAAGTGAGTGTAGTTCAATGTTGGTGTGGGTCGTGCTGGAAGTGCGTGCGGCGCGTGCCGAGGAGCCGCGTGCGCCGGGCCTGCACGAGCGGCGGCGTGCGGGCGCGCCGCACGGGCTGGCTAGACGCCATGCGCAGCGCGCTGTACACCGGGATCTGCACCGCACACGCCCCGTCACTAGCTACACTATACGAGGCACCTACATCCACTGACAGGACGCGGGTGCTCGACTCCGGACAGACTATACCAGTGCCACCAGAAATTTTGATCGCATGTCTGTGATGTGAGCTTCAAAAACCACTTAAATGCAGGTGGACCGCGAGCTAATAATAATGATAAACTAAGCAAGACTCATATTCTTCTTCTCAGTCGTGTGCACTCTCGGCAGAGTCGTCGTGGTCACCATTTCGGATGCGCTTCACCAAACGTCACCATTCCTCGCCTACCGCGGCTCTCTTTGTGCACTCGTTGACGGGATCGTTTAGAACTGCCTTTATTTGGTCGTTCTCTTGTAACCCCCAATTATGCCTTGTACCACAAAGCGCTCAACCGAGTCGTCACCCCGTCGCAACACATTAGTTACCTTAAACATTACTAGGCAGAAAAAACTCACAGTTGGCAGGGAGTCATCGAGAACAATAGGATCCTGCCGATCTGGTCTCGAGGGTAGGTGGAAGTAGTTTCCGAGTAGCGGCTCGGAGGGCGGGGCTCCGTACGTCCGGCACAGCTCCTGCTCGGTGATGTCGCGCAGCTTGTCCTCCTCCACCTGCCCCGGCACGTAGCGGGAGACGTAGCCCCCGCGCCACACCTGAACGCGATCTTAGCTTGGTACTTGTGTAATGTATCTAACACGAACGGTAGTCCGTCTGCGGGTACAAGTCGGTACCACGGCCATATTATTTCTCGTAAGTTCAGCGAGCTCTCAACCTGAATGACGCCACACTCACTGAGACTTGAGGTCGTCGTCTCAAATAACATCTGTATTATATGTATTGTGGCGGGTAGCCATCATACAAGACAATATATTTGACAGATGCCTGAATCTCGCATAAGACATTTTCAAGATAAGCTTGCATAAACTGGTATACAACAAGATCCGAACAATAAGATCGGGATCGTCGGTCTACCGAGCAATATCACCAGCTCGGTCTTTCCAGATCTTCCACCGAGCGGAGGTAATTCCGTCATCAAACCCTCAAAATATATTTATTTATTTATTAAATAGCCTTTAATGCTGCTTTTAGAGGCAGCTTCCGCTACTTGGCCTCTAAATGCTGGAACAATATTCCTCCACCTATCCGGCACCAGAGAACGCTAAGGTCCTTTAAAACAAATTTAAAAGTATATCTTTTGAATATACAGGAAAAATTCGAAAATATCAAATATAATTACTCCGTACTATAATCAGTTGTGCTTTGCAACTGCAATTTTTATTTAATTAATTTAATAATGTCATTTTGTTGTCCTTTTCATAACTGTTTTTTTTTTTTTTTTATTACTCATGTTCTTTTTATTTTTTAATATATCTTACAATGATGTGTATTGGTCGGTCTGATGCTGGTGTGCGCGTCACTCCGCAGGTGCCGGCGGAAGATCAGCGCCGCAGTACCGATTGTCTCGATACTGTTAGGCATTGCTGAGCCGGTAACCATTTCCAAGCCTCGTTATTTTTGTTATCTTTTTTTATTTATTTTTTGTACTTAATTTGTGTTTGGAATAAATGTTTATTATTATTATTATTATTATTATTATTTAATTAAAAGTAAAAGTAATAATTGTATCACCTTAAAAGTCGTAAAACTCGCAACTTTCTTGACGTCAGGCGGGAACCTTGTAAGGTCGAGACTCCAGGGCAAGAAGCTGCCCAGCGTGTGCAAGTATTCACCAGACAGGCGCCACACTCGCACGCTGTAGTCCGAGCTACCGCTGGAAGCCACAGCAGAGAACTACGACTTACAGACCACCACATAATGTCCCACGGTCCTCTTAGGCACGAGTAGGCCATCGGAAAACTGTCAATTCTAAGGTTTCATGTGTTGATCGAAAGAACAAACAAAAATTAAAAAATCGATTTTTATTGTGAAATGCTATAATAACGTAACCGCAACCTTCCATAAATTGATAATTAGAATCCACCCAGAATATCTCATATGATATTAGTTCAAGAAAAATAAATAAAACATCGAATTGAAGTCGTTGTGGCCTCAAGTCTGGTGTTCGAATCCCGCAGGCGGGTACTAATTTTTTGTAATGAAATATGTATTTAACAAATTGACGATTGACTTCCACGGTGGAGGAATAAATAACATTATGTAATGAAAATGAAAACCATAAAATTATAATTTGCGAAATAGCTGGTGGTAGGACCGCTTGCGAGTACGCAAGAGTAGGCACGACCACCCTGCCTATTTTTGTTATGAAGCAGTAATTGTAGGACGTTTCGGTTTAGCGAGAAAGCAAGGAAAAAATGTATTCAATATATGGTGTATTTTAAATAAGTGTATCGTATATTGACCTCACATTGTTGTACCTGAACAACAGTTTGAGTTCGTCGACATAAGCGAGGGTCGTGACGCAGCGCAGGTGTGCGCGGTAGCTGTTGAGCAACAGCGGGAGCGGCTGCTGGCGAACGCAGCGCTTGGCGCGGCCCTCCAGCCGGTCCCGCCATAGAAACGGAAACTCTAAACGTAGCTTCGGCATACAGACGTGGACCTGCGAGTCACCGCGTGACTGCGGTCAGTAGTTGTGGACGGTTGACGCCCAGATGACATTGTTATTAGAATGACCATGTACTCAAATAAACTAGGTAACACTAGGGTAACAAATGAGCTGACGGTCCACACGGTGCCATGCTATTGGTCACTGAACCTATGGACTATGCCAAACTCACGACTGATACTGCAGTGACGGTCCCAGACTTGCGCGCGGCAGTTATAGGCAGTGGTGGCACGTACTATGGGCTCACAATACCTAACTTTATTTTGCAAAAAATCAAACAATGCAATCTCACCTCTTCGTTCCGCAGATAGTTTCTCATGAGCCAAACCTTGATATACCCGATTGTGGTACCGGTGAAGAGATAGTCATTGTTCGTGTCGGTAGCGAATGCCGACACATAGTCTCCAGCCGTGTGAATGGCCTGGAACGAGCCTTGGTATCCGCCGGCTGAATGATCCGACCAACCTTGGACCTGACCGTTCTCCAGAGAGAGCATTAGAGATGCTACAAATTAAAGATATTTCATGAAATGTTAATATAATGTGTAATGTTATCATGAATAGCTTATGATACAACACCAGCAACTCTAATTAATTCCAAGGTAGATATCTTTTATTGATAAAATACTTGAGCTGTATGATTTTTATCGCACTAGATGAGTTAACGGGCTCACTGATTGCCTGATATTAGATCTTTACCTATCAAGTTGCCGTTAATAGTACACAGAAAGTTAAGTCAGCTTTCTGTCAATCCAAAATATGCACCTATGGTATCTTATCAAACTTAGGTATGTTCTTTCCAAAGTTTGGACAACTTGGCAGGGAAAACATTCAAGCATTAAAGAGTTTGTTAGCTTCCGCACACCACGCACCATCAGGTGGGCCGTATGTTCGTCTGCCTACAAAGGGAATAAAAAAAAAGTTTTTTTTCGCTAGGCGAAATACATCGATTGCTCAATCGATGTCGCCACTCGCCAACGCCACAGCACCTTTTTTTTTTTTTCGGGTAGAGGGCCGAACCTCCTACGAGGTCCCCGCGCAAAAGGGGCGCGCGGGGTATGTGAGACTCAACGATCTGCATGGTGTTGTGAGCAGACCGCGGGCCCAAGGATTTTAGAGCCCACCCACTAAACGACTCCTCTGCACTCTTACACCCGACGTCCGATCCCCTCCGAGGTCAGAACCCGGATGAGNGGATTTTAGAGCCCACCCACTAAACGACTCCTCTGCACTCTTACACCCGACGTCCGATCCCCTCCGAGGTCAGAACCCGGATGAGGTAGGGGGGCTACCGCGGTCAACACTACAACCAGACGGCGCGGCTCACCCCAAGGACGCCCAGCCGACGGAGCCTTCGAGGCGAATCGAAGGCTCTGAAACGTCGGCCGTCTCGGTACGTATTTATATGTATATTATATGTATATTATATATTTATATGTATATTATATTTATATATTATATGTACGCATTCCGCACACCTGACTTCTTCAAGAAGGCCATTGAAAAATTACGACCTTGCAGGCTGAGATGTACCGATACTATGGCTACTTCTGTACATTAAGGGGCAACTTCCTTAAGTAAAAACCTAATATTAATAATAAAAATTTCATTAAAAGGCTTGTTTCAAGCCTAAAGTTTGGTACATAGTAAGGTATTCATGAGATTTTTTTCCCATTATTGCTTAGGTGGGTGGATGAGCTCACAGCCCACCTGGTGTTAAGTGGTTACTGGAGCCCATAGACAGCTACAACGTAAATGCGCCAACCACCTTGAGATATAAGTTCTAAGGTCTCAGTATAGTTACAAAGGCTGCCCCACCCTTCAAGACGAAACGCATTACTGCTTCACGTCAGAAATAGGCGGGGTGGTGGTACCTACCCGTGCAGACTCACAAGAAGTCCTACCACCAGTTTTATTGCCCTTGTAGGCAGACGAGTAACGGCCCACCTTATGGTGAGTGATTACCGTCGGCCATGGACTTCAGCAATGCCAGGGGCAGAGCCAAGCCGCTCCTACCGCGCGTTTACCATGTATGCACGAACCTTTACTTAATCAGATAACTAGATATACATCGATGCACCCTTCCAGTACTTTTATATGAGGAGCACTAATAAAGCAGCACGTGTAAATCGCTTACCAACGTTCATGGAGCATGGTCTGGTGAGTAAAAAGATGATTGCATGAACAGCCAACTGTCGCATGTGCTGGGCTCGGGCCGGTAGAGACACAGTCGACACTCTGCGAGCGTAGGCCTTACGCATCGCTGTCGACGCACTCACGGACTCACGTTCAACCATGCTGATGAAGGAGACTTGGTTCCACGTGACTTGTAACACTTTGGTGTTTGAACTTACCTGACCATCTGTATCGCGAGCCGACCAATCATTTGATTTGATGGATTTTGTCATAATTTTAGTAATTCTTTATCAAGCTTATTAAATATGCCACAAACCAAACAGACAAATACTGTCTTTATAATTAACTAGCGACCCGCCCTCGCTTCGCTTCGGAAACATAAAAACACACATGAAACCAAAAAAAAAAAAAAAAAATTTAAAAAGGTAGCCTATGTTCATCAGGGACAATGTCGGCTTCTAATGGAAAAAGAATTTTTCAAATCGGTCCAGTAGTTTCGGAGCCTATTCGAAACAAACAAACAAACAAATCTTTCCTCTTTATAATATTAGTATAGATTTTCTCATCAATACTATCCGTCATTTTTCTTTCGTGAAGAAAATAAAAGACTTAATCTTGAATTTAATAAGTCGTTGCGTTCCGAGATAACATTTAGGTAAAACATTATGTCTATCGGTGCACGTATCTACTCGTTTTTGTCTCTTGTGTTCCCGCCACTCACAAGCCTTCCTAGCTACCTTCCTAGCTAGCTGCCGACGAAGCAATGTTTATTTATTAATGTAATGCTATTGCACGCACAGCGGTCACAATCCGACAACAGTTAAATAAATAATAATGTAATTTGTTATAATAGTCCTATCTTGTCCACTTTCCTGAGATACACAGAAAATATTTTATAATAATTATGGACGACAATATTGATAATAGTTAAATAAATGATCCTTCTAGATTTCGATTTAGCTTAGCATACTCTTCTCCGGTTGAGGATTGAATAGTTTATTCTTAAAAATTACCGACTAAATTAACCGGATATACTAATAGCTTTAATTCCACAATACCAAAGTAAGTGTACAAAGGCTCATAGTCCAGTTGTCGGCAGGATCGTCTCCGCGGCTATATTTAAGCTTGACATTCAACACGCCAATTGTTATCTAAAGCTTATACAACCAATAGTGAAATTGAAGTGTGTATACCTAATAACATAAAATAAAATAAAAAAGTTATTACATATACTTAGTCTGGCCATAAATACTGTTACAATTAAAAATAAACAAAACATTACATTTGAATTTGGAATCTGTCATTTTTATATGATTGCTCATTGAGTTTTCTCTCTCAAATATATTAAGTGTATAATCTATGGTTTTCTCATTTTGGCGCCAATACATTGTACAATATTTTGCGATATTAAAATGGAGCGGGGTGATAAAGAGAACCGAATCGCTGTGATTGCATTACACAAAGTAGGTATGGAGCCAAATGTAATTTTTAAAACTCTCCATACGCTTGGTATTAGTAAAATGTTTGTGCACCGGGCTATTAATAAGTTCAATGAGACCTCCTCTGTTTGTGACAAAAAGAGATCTGGCCGTCCACGTAGTGTTCGTACGAAAAAGGTGGTCAAAGCAGTAAGAATTCGAAGAAATCCTGTCCGAAAGCAAAAGATTTTATCTCGGGAGATGAAGATAGCACCTAGAACCATGTCGCGTATTTTAAAATATGACTTAAGACTTGCAGCCTATAAGAGACGTACTAGTCATTTCTTAACTGATAATTTAAAAGAGAATAGGTTGGTAAAATCGAAACAACACTGAAACGGTACGCAAAGGGAAGTCATAGAAAAATGTTGTTTACGGATGAGAAATTTTTTACAATTGAGCAACATTTTTACAATTGAGCAACATTTTTACAAAGAAAATGACCGTATTTATTCTCAAAGCTCTAAAGAAGCTTTCCAATTAGTCGACAGAGTGCAACGTGGGCACTATCCGACTTCAGTGATGGTTTGGTGGGGTATTAGCTATGAAGGAATGACTGGGCAATACTTTTGTGAAAAAGGTATCAAAACATCGGCACAAGTGTATCAAGATACCATTCTTGAGAAGGTATTGAAGCCCCTTAGCAACACCATGTTCAATAATCAAGAATGGTCCTTCCAGCAAGACTCGGCGCTATGTCATAAAGCTCGGTCTACGCAGTCTTGGTTGGAAACGAACGTTTCGGACTTCATCAGAGCTGAAGACTGGCCGTCGTCTAGTCCCGATCTTAATCCGCTGGATTATGATTTATGGTCAGTTTTAGAGAGTACGGCTTGCTCTAAACGCCATGATAATTTGGAGTCCCTAAAACAATCCGTATGATTGGCAGTAAAAAAAATTCCCATGAAAAGAGTGCGTGCTTCTATTGATAACTGGCCTCAGCGATTAAAGGACTGTATTGCAGCCAATGGAGACCACTTCGAATAAGCTTTTTACACTTTAAATTGTTTTATTTTTATGTATTAAACTAAAACACTGTAAAAGAAATAAATTTTATTTGCCATAGATTTTTTTTTGTTTTTCTTTGTAACAGTATTTATGGCCAGACTAAGTGGTCACGCGCGGATTTAGTAATGGGATGCTAATGAATTATTGGGATGGCGCCACCTTTGGAGTTTGTCAGTAACTAATTACCGCGACTATCCAAAGCGGGGTTCTACCCGATCGATCACGCTTTACCGCTAGCTGCCTAGATGGCGGCACTTGTATATTGTGTGGTGCTTGTGCTTACGAAAAGCTACGTGAGCTTCGTCACCCCCTCCCGCCGCCCGCGTGCTTCCATCGCCGACGCCCGCACGACAGTCACTGGCAAGGTCTACAGGTGAGTGCAAGTTCTTTTAATTTATTGCCATTTTATTGCTGTTTCCGTGTAATCATTCGCCCGCCCGCTCGCTTATGTGTATTTAATTTATATCTTTAGTTTGATTACTAGCTTTTGTTTACCGCTATATAGTTTTACCGCTCCGCTAATTATAAGTGACAAACATTTGTCACATACCGCTTAGGACGGCTATTTACACGCCTTTCTACAACCCCGCTTTATATGCTCCCGCCGCAGGAGGGCTATTTACACGCCCCCTTGCTACCCCACTAAGTATTTTTTTTTTCACCCCTGGAGGTGAAGTGTGTATACTTATATATTATAGAATAGCATAGCACAGCATAGTATTAGCATAGCATTTAGTATAAAACATAATTAATAGGTGTAATCTCGTATGTCCCCCTAATAAGGCGGGCCACCCAGAAACATAGCTTCTTCATAATTGTAAACTAGGATTAAGATGATTATTAAACATAGAATACACGCAAGAAGTCGTTTTCCTTTAAAACCTCCCAAAGTACAACATTACAAAGTGTGCCAGTCCGTTAGAAATGAGCGATAGATTCACCAACCTGGGTCTTCTCATAGAAGAAGCCCGTCTTGAAGCAGGCGACGAGGACTGGGCTGAGGAGGAGGCACGAGCTTCACGCTTGGAGTACTGCATCTTGATCCGAAGGGTTGGTTCCGTGCATGAAAAACGTCTATAGATAAAATAATTAGTGGGCTTGGGACCCGGGAATCTAATGATTATTAAAGTGAAACTTTTATGACATTGGCTCAAACTTTTTCGTCTATGTGTTGCATGTCGCGTGACGGTCGGCCGCGGAGTAGGGATAAAGTGAAAGGCTCGTCAGAGCTCGTCAGGGCAGCCAAGGCCAAGATGGCGGCGCCTATAGTTCGCAGCAGCTGACCGTGTAGTGTATAGAGTATTACTCATTTGTGCCAGTGCTCCACGCTATTTTGTTTGTTTTTGTCAGTGTGTAATAATGTAAATGTTGTTTGTCATCGTTTAATGTATATAATGTGAAAAAAAGTTTCACTTTTACTGTGGTTTCATAAAACCACACAACTATTGTTTATCCTTATCCTAATAGCACTTTTAAATCGTCTGCCTTATAAATATTCACCGATAGGGCTGTCCAGTCTCCAGCTTCCACAGCAATAGTTCAGAGTTGTAGGAAGCAGTAGCAAGCGCCAGGGGAGGTCGAGCTGCAGCAGCCAACACGTCGTCGCTGTGCCGCGTCTCCCAACTCTTGCCGGTGCTGCCGGTGCCAGTCTCTTCGAACTCTGTCACGTGACGATTCCAGCCCACTGCCAAGATCCTACAAAATAGATCAGCATCTTTCTAGGCGTTTCGTAGGATAGCCAATTAAGTTCCGAGTTGGAGGTATTTTCTGTTGCGAAGCCATGTGATTGTTTATGGAGTGCCGGCACAGCCAAGTCGCATTATGTACGATATATATATATATATAAATAAAAAACATTTTTACGTACATTGTTTGGGTCAAATTTGGGTCGGAGCTATTTCTGCGCGAGCGGATATCGCTTGCATGACGTCTCATTTAGCTTTGACGAATACAAGCATAAGTACCTACCTTCCTTCAACCCAAAAGCAGCTGGTTACTTCGCACATATGTTCGATACTCATGGTCCTCAAACATATTCCAGTGTTGAAGTTCCACACCTACAGAACAAAAATCTTCTTAAAATGCAGAAGCTGTTAGCATTAGTTATTTGTACGTTGATTTCTCTGTATCCTTTAAGCTTTTTATCTATAAATTTATCTGTTTCGCAATGTATAAAATAGTTTTGGCATGAACGTATTGCTGTCGTGAGCTGAAAAAGAAGATAGCCCATCAGGCTATCGGAGATGGTTGAGGATAGCTATAGGCTGATAAGAAGCTGCCCTGCTAATAATAAAATGGCTAGCAACACTTAAAAGTTGCGATAGTCACTAAATTGTTTTTGTCTTTGAAAATAGATTAAGACTTCTACACAATCGCACATCTTCATGTTTTTAGAGCTAACTCACCTTGAGCGACCCATTTCTGGCTCCCGTCAATAGGAGTTGGTATCCAGGGTCGAAGCATGCTGCAGTGATTTCCACTGGAATCAACTCTCCATGGAGCAGACGGGTGTGAGCATCCCGGATCAGAGTGTTTCGCTTTCCTTTACACATTGATTTATGTATGAATAGATTAATTATGTATGTAGCGTTAACAAGTCCGTTATTAAGTTTTAAAAAAATCATCTTTAGCGAATTATTCTAACGTTGTTACTTTGAAATCAATTTTGAATTTTATAGGTTTTTCCTTTTGTTGACGTCTATTGGCTCCGGTAACCACCTGACACCAGGTGGACTGTGAACTCATCCACCCTATAATTAATTAACTATACTTGAGACTTTAGAGCTTATGTCTCGAGGTGGGTGACGCATTTACTTTGTAGATGTCTATGGGCTCCAGTAACCACTTAACACCAGGTGGGCTGTCCCATCTAAGCAATAAAAATAAAAAAATGAAACCAACCCGTCGCTGGATCCCAGTTGATAATAATGCTGTCCATTCCACAAGTGATGATGACCTTGAAGAGCGGGTTGTACAGCACCTCGGCCACGGCCCTCGAGTGCGTGAAGCCGTCGGTGTGCGCCGGGTTGAGCTGCTCGTCCAGCACGAGCACGGCCACCTTCATGGCTGCGAGGATGTACTCGCGGCTGACCGGGTTGTACACCGCCGTGATGGGCGTGCGCTCGCCCACTTGTGCTGGCACGTCGATGTACGTCTGAGAGGTCGCAGACTCTGTATTTTTTTTCCTACCTAAGCTGATGGTCTAGAGAGACTATATCAGCGTCACCGGGTCAGTAGGTGAGCTCACGGGGTTCAAACCTAACGTTGTTGCTAACAAGAGTCGTCCTTCGCAGAATCTAACACCGGATCGGAAACGCGACCCACTGAGAATTTCTGGAGAGAAACTCAGTGGGCTGTGTCTGTGGGGAATTGTATTCGCTGATAAACTTAACCTTTCTCTTCAAAGATTCTTTGTAGCGGCGTAGAAATATAACCGCAAAATTGTAGCGGCAAATTTGTAAATGTGTACCACTTGTATTGGAAAATTAAAATCAGGTTTTTTTTTATTTATTACTAAGATGGTTGGACGAGCTCACAGCCCACCTGGTGTTAAGTGGTTACTGGAGCCCATGGACATCTACAACGTAAATGCACCACCCACCTTGAGATATAAATTCTAAGATCTCAGTATAGTTACAACGGCCCACCCTTCAAACCGAAACGCATTACTGCTTCACGGCAGAAATAGGCAGGGCGGTGGTACCTACCCGCGCAGACTCACAAGTGGTCCTACCACCAGTAATTACGCAAATTATAATTTTGCGGGTTTCACTTTTATTTCACGATGTTATTCTTTCACCGTGGAAGTCAATCGTGAACATTTGTTGAGTACGTAATTCATTAGAAATATTGGTACCCGCCTGGGATTCGAACACAGGTGCATCGCTCAACACGAATGCACCGGATGTCTTATCTCTTAGGCCACGACGACTTCTATTTCTAGATATTTGCTACAAATCCACATTGGTTGAGCCATTTCGACAAAGAGGCACGACACGAAAACCCTCTCATCGTTGCCACCGGGAACTACATTGCCGATCTTGCGAACCGAATGGTAAACAGTCGATGTCACCCAAAACATGTCATCTCGGATTCTCCCGATCCACTAACGGTGCTTTTAGGTACCCAAAGCACTGGTCATCGTTCTCGTCGAACCCGTCGCTTGCGACGAAGAGCTGGGCGAGTAAATTAACCCACAGACACAGCCCACTGAGTTTCTCGCCGGATCTTCTCAGGGAGTCGCGTTTCGATACGGTGGTAGATTCTGCGAAGGCCGGCTCTTGCTAGGGTTCCTGTTACGCTGTGCGGGAAATGAGTAAAATCTTTCATCGCTTGGCGCCTCACTTGTATGCAGACTTGTCCGTGTACATCCCAGACTTTGATAATTCTGTCTCTGGAGAGGGAGTAGACGGTTTGACCGTTGTTCTGCAGCACGATGTTGGTGACGGCGGCGTGGTGGCCCAGCAGAATTGCATTACATTTACTGGGAACGAAAGGATTCCACACTCGGACTGCACAATCCGGACCACCCGTTACCAGTACATGAGCGGCTTCGTCGAACGCGAAGCATTGAATGCCCTGGGATATTAAACATATTTTAATTATTATAGAAACACTAGTGTCATGCTTATTGTACTTAACACTGACAACAATTAGCACTCGAAGTTCGGCAGTAGAAATCATATATTACTGGAATAATTTTGTGCCAAAGCTACCTCCTGAGTACGAAGCCAAGCTTATCTAAGCTTTCCTAATAGGTAGAACGCCTTGTGGTACTAGTGGCAGTTAGGTAAAGTCAGCAGTGGATATAAACTGTTTAATGTATACTTAAACATATTTGATTTGCAACAATTGAAAAAACGGACACCTCTCGACCACGGCGGTGGTAGAATGGATAGTCCGGTAAACCTGTTTGCCATTTGTCGTCCATTGCAATGAGACACTATGCACTACTACGAAGCAGTTAAGGTAAAGGTAAGGCAGTTAAATAGGTAGATAAATTTTGTCGAATGATAACTTGCAGAATAAGTTTGAATCTGATTGTGTTGTGTCGATGTGTGTAAGTGCGTGTGAGTGAAAATTCAATAAAATTGTATCATGCATTTTAGTCTAAAACAATGCCCGAACCTTTTCAACTTTAAACATGTTATGAGTTTTAGAGCCAGCGATGTCACACATGAGTAAGGAGTCGACACACGTGGAGCACGACACCACACAGTGCAAGGACTCGTAGTACGACACTTGACGAACCCAATCGCTGTGGACCCTGGTCAGTTCCACTAGCTGCATTGCTGGCAGCAGTTGAGGCTGTAATTATTATTATTGCTATCAAATGAATTTTTACTATTTTCATTAAAATTGATATTGAGATATTTTAAAGTCTTTAGTAACGACGGTAGTCACTTGCAGAATATTAAAATGTAGTTTTTTATGGTGTTGTAGCATTGCAGCAGTCCATATGCGATCAGCGGACATGAACACCCAAGAGGGATTTGCCCCTTCTGTTGCCTGCTTCAGAAAAATATATTAAGTATCAGGAAGGCGCGGTATTCAATGAATCACCGCAAAAGTTCCAGCAGGGCATTTTGGATGTAGGTGGACTATTTTCGGTGGCCTACTGTACCGTAAAAGAAATACGCAAACAGTCCCACAGCTTCACCAAGAACGAACTAGATTCTCCACCTTACGCTGCAAATCTACATGTCGGAGTTGTATGAGCGCCTTCCCCGGCTGGTTCTGGAACGGTCCGCGTTTGATCGGTGAAAACATCAGCACTCGGACGTTGCCGCCCACGTCGCCGCAGATCAGGAGGCACTTCTCGTTTATATCCTTGTGGAAGTGGTAGTACATTGTGCAAATCTAAACAAAGTTTAATTACTAGTTGTTTGTTATTCTAATAAATAGATATATTCTATTTCATTCTCTGTCTCGGTCTTCTTTGTTCCTGGTCATTGAACAAACTAGACGTGTTTTGTGGTGCTCCATTTGTAATTTAAATTGTGAAGTTATTAAAATAAACTAAGTGAACAGAACCAGTGCATTCTCAATAACAATATTCCCTGTGAATTAAATAAGTAGATTCAATATTAATCATTAGTTTAATTTTCTGTGAATAAAGGTTAAATAGAAAACAACTTGCCGGTGGTAAAGCAAGGTATACCGCACCATCACCTTGCACCGATGCTCCTTCCAGTGTTTGGAGGATGACACAGCCGTGGTGCAAACACATGCAAATGGTTACGTCCTAATGTTTGGAGGTAATTCAAGTCGTGGACTCGTGGCGTGTCTGCTTATTTACGCTAGTTAAAAAATTACTTTTGGAATGTTCGGACATCAGATGTTCGCTTTTATGGGTGAATACATTTTTATTTACAACTCCTAATGAGGTAAACTTACAGATTTTAAATAAAGCTATTTGAAATAAAATGGATATGGTAAATCAAACTAGCCATGAACTCCCAACTAGTGATGACAATCTTCAGTGTGAAAGTCTTGGCTGTGCAGTCATAGAAACGAAGGTCTCGCTCCGTGGAGCTCGTCACTATGATGTTTACATCTGGCATACACACCAAGTCCGTTACCCACGTTATGCGGACTTTTAGATGAGCTGGATTCAAGAAAGAAGACAATATCAGTCATGTATAGTGACAAGCGAGAACCAAGTCTTTAACGGCTTGATCTGGTGTTTTTTAATTCGTTTCGTATTTTCCAATGTCTATGATTCGCGAAAACTTATTTGGGGTAATACCGCCACCTTATAATTACATTCACACAACGCGCGACTAGAGCTGACTCCATCCATCCCGCTGGAATGAACTATCCGCCACACTAGTTCCTGGGCGCAGCAATATGTCCTTGATCAAAAGAGGTTTTTAAAAAGTCCTGGACGGTAGACAAGAGATTGACTATACCCCTGAGCGGTGGAGACAGTCACAGTCAGACGGGTCATATGCTGGTCTACCTTGGAGGGCAGTAAAACTTGGGAAAGTAATTTAGAATATTCTTCGTCTTTAAGCATAATAGAATATGAACAAAAGCTTAAATTGGTCGAACAGATATTTTTGTTTATAGTTTCTAAAAGGAAATTACCTACATATTATTCAGGCAAATGTGAGACCAATTTTAAATACCTCTTCTCACTGGCAAAGAAGACGCGTTCGTATCTCACCTCGTGTTAGCGCGTCTATTAAGACCTATTGATAACTAGACCCATAAGTCTTTTAATTGTTCTTGTTGTAGGTACATGTGTCTACAGATCATAATTCCGGATTGCTTCCACTGCCCAATCTATTTTAAAAAATAAGTACCTAGCTCAATATTCATTATGACGAACACTAACGGCTAGAAGAGAAGGCAGTTCGGAGCAGCACCATGTCGAGCGACCACCAGTTGATCATGCCGTCGCGACTGGCCGTTATGTACGTACCCTGCATCGGGTCCGTGCTTCGATCCTGTAGAAATGGTAAATACTTACTAATTACAAACTATTTGTCTCCATCATAATTTACTAGTTAGTAAAGAAAATTTAAGGTATCATTAGTATTCCTCCCTATAAGCAATACAAGGAAGGAGCTATCCTTAATACAATGTGCTTTTGCAGAGCATAATGGTTTCCTTTGCTTTATTTTATTGGATACATTTGAACCTATCAATATCAAACCAATTCTAAAAATCGTCACTCGTAGTCACCTCCTTATTTTCCGAGGACGAAATTGTAAGGGTTCTGTTTGCTCTACTAAAATATTTATTAAAATATTTGTTTTAAACTAATCCCGTTAAAAACCTTGGCTACATCAGGACAGAAACATATCCTCGAAACAGGATGTCGGTGTTGCGAGCGCATGACGGTGGGTAGACCCATGATAGGCGGCTGTAGGGATTCGCGCTGCTCCTCTGCACCACTCGCGAAGTACCCCAGCAGTAGATGAGAGACTAAATCGTCCCATTCTATATCACCGGTTCGATTTGTGTTAATCTGATTTAAAAAAAAAGGGTACTTATGTGTTATATTTTACTAATATAAAAATGCAAACTAAATTAGCTCGTTTACAACAGTACCATTCGATATTCATATAAAACCATTCATACGAGCTCCGCTATATATGATACAATACCACTTATTTCAATAGCAAATAGACTAGGACCCCGGGGGGTTCAGGGTAGCCTTCACGGTAGCCTTCAGTTGTCCTGAGGGTTCGACCGTCCATCTGTACGATTGTTAAATAAATATGATGCTATTAAAATAAATGTTATTAAGTTAGTTTTATTTCCGTTTTGCGGTTTCGAGATCTTTTTTGTTTATTTTCCTATCTAAGCTGATAGCCTTGAGAGGCAATTTCAGCGTAACCTTAACTAGCAGGTGAGCTCACGGGGCTCAAACCTGACGACGTTGCTAACACGGACCCTAGCAAGAGCCGTGCTCCGCAGAACCTACCACCCGATTCGGATACGCGACCCATTGAGAAGATCCGGCGAGAAACTCAGGCTGTGTCTGTGGGTTAATTTACTCGTCGAGCCCTTCGTCTCAAGCGACAGGTTCGACGAGAACGATGACCGGTGCTTGAGGTACCTAAAAGCACCGTTAGTGGATCGGGAGGATCTGAAATGACGTGTCGAGATCTAAGGACACAACTTGTGTGTGCTGTGCGTTCTGTTTCACCACTACGCCTGAATTTCTCTATACATTTTTCCAGCGACCTGTTGGTTACATACATTTCATTTTGAGTGCGAGAACCTAAGTACACTAACTTAATAAGCGCTGCATGTTGAAAAATTGTTCAACTAACTTTCATAAACAATATTTTATAATCGTCGTCGTCATATTCAACGTTAAGTAACGTTCTTAACAAATTTCTAAATTCATTCGGAAGCATTTTATTCATATTTGCTTGAAAAGCATCTTTTATTTTCAACATGTCTGTAATGGTACAACGTTCATGGAGAGGTGCATTCTTCCAACGACTTATGTTCTGAAGCGCTGTGCTTGCTTCAGACTTAGTAGAAAAAGTCATTATTGACTTAACATCGCTTTCATTAGCCATTTCGGTGTGAACAGTAAACTGAAATCCGTATGCAAAATAACAACTTCAGGCTCTCGTATTACATTTAATTATCTTAAGGACATTTTCAGAAAAAAATGTATGTAACAATGTTTCAAATTCATTGAACGTGATGACAATTATTGACAATTAGTAACAATTCAAAGAGTATCCGTATTAGTCTGTTGTACCTACGAAAAGTAGAACGAAACAAATTATGTGAAATTGTAGTAAAAGTATGTAAGTATTAAATGAAATGAAAAAGAGTTCACTGAAATGAGAAGAAATAATAGACCTTCTCAGCTACTCGTGGTAGGACCTCTTGTGAGTCCCCGCGGGTAGGTACCACCACCCTGCCTATTTCTGCCGTGAAGCAGTAATGCGTTTCGGTTTGAAGGATGGGGCAGCCGTTGTAAGTATACTTGAGAAAAACTTATACCTCAAGGTGGGTGGCGTATTTACGTTGTAGATGTCTATGGGCTCCAGTAACCACTTAACACCAGGTGGGCTGTGAGCTCGTCCACCCATCTAAGCAATAAAAAAAGCAGCTGATTGAGGGATTCCTGAAAGCTCAATGGCCTTTTTGAAATTACTTCAAAATCTATATAGGTTTTAAAGCGCCTACAGACGTTTAAGCCTATAAAAATACTAACTTAACAAAAAAACAATTAACATTATTATATTCTTGCCAAAAAAATATTTATTGCTTGTTATGGTGGACAAGCTAACGGCCCACCTGGTGTTAAGTGGTTACCGAAGCCCATAGACATTAACAACGTAAATGCTGCCACGTGCCTTGAAAGATGAGTTCTAAGGTCTCCGTTTTAACAGTACAACGGCTGCCCCACCCTTCAAACCGAAAAGCATTACTGCTTTACGGCAGAAATACCTTCTTTTTTTCGTGCCGAGGGCCGAGCCTCCTACGAGGTCTCCGCGCCTAGGGGGCGCGCGGGGTATGTGGGACTTGACGATCTGCAAGGTGTTGGGAGCAGACTGCAGGCCTAAGGAATTTTAGGGCCCTACCCACTAAACGACTCCCCTGTACTTTTCGGCCAAACGTCCGATCCTCTCCAAGGTCAGAACCCGGATGTGGATTCACAAGACGTCTTAACACCAATAATTACGTAAATTATAATTTTGCGGGTTTGATTTTTATTACACGATGTTATTCCTTCACCGTGAGAGTAATCGTAAATATTTTGTAAGTACCTATTTTTGTGTTGTCCAGCTGGAGCACTGGGTATGAATACTCCAGAGGGTCCCACAAACAAGTTCGAAAAGGAATGGTAGCGAGCGAGGTGCGAACGTATTCTCGTGTGTATGCTTCGGTGGTTGCGGGTGAACTGTCGGCGCACGAAAAGGGGCGCGCGCGGCTTGCCAAAGGGAAAGCCCCTCGGTCGCTAGTCTTTGAATCGCGCCGGGAGCCGACAACGAGAACCCTTGATTGGTCGCGGCGCGCGATCAGACGCGGCTGCCGACGCGGCAGGCGTTAGGGTTGCTATACTATGTATTCCATTAGAAAATTTGGTACTTGCCAGCGGGATTCGAACACCGGTGCATCGCTAGGTACAAATGCACGGGGCGTCTTATCTTTTAGGCCACGGCGAAATTTGGAAATATATGAATATAATTCAGTAGTAGTTCCATTTTTCCATTAGAGGAAAATCGAAGGTATTACACCACCTAAGGTATTACACTATGAAGCCTAAACTTTTATAAATTTTGTTTTATAAAAGGTGATAGCGAAATTAAATGATGTTAATTAATTTGAGACATAAATCCATTGGGATGAAATTAAATGAAACGAAATGTTATGGAATGAAATATGATCAAATATCAGTAAAATGATGGTTATTTGCTGAAACTTTTGCAGTGGATTTTTTCGAAGATCCCAAGAAGCTACGCTCAGCAGCTTTGTTTCCTTTTTTCCATATTTGTACAATTTCACAGATACTAAGCGATTAATAAACCACCGTTATTACGTATTAAAACCTGAAGAAATATTAAATTCACAAAGTAAAAACCACCTCGACCAAAACTAAACCAACTCGATCCTCGTGGGGCCAATATGCGACAATCTATAACATAGAATAAGATCACACATAATTTAAATTAAGTTAGCTCCATAAATAAGTGAGTGCCTTGAGTAACGATATGGAACTAACAAGGTTGATAATTAATTTTTAAATTCATGCTATGGTTTAGGTTCCCTTTGCGCGTCGAATTTGACAAGTCAAGAAAGCAACCGTTTCTGCTTTTTTAAGACTTAAAATACCATAGATAATATTTTTAAGATACTGGAGGATTTGACACAATTTAATTGAGATTTGAGCATAGACCTATATAGTGATTTGAGATTTTGTAATACCATTAGAATTGAAAGTTTGGAATTTTTTTATCCAATCACTGTAAAATGCATCTGTCGCTGCGCCTATTATCAAATAGACATCCTTCTTTCATAGCTCGCACAGTGTTTGTACAAAACAACGATATTGACAATGCGTGTAGGTTGATCAACAGGATTATGGGTAAAGAAGGTCTTTTAGCTCAATACAGGCTCACTAGATACTACGAGAAGCCGTTTCAGGTATAAATATTGAAATTTTTTTATTGACAGAAAATCAAAGGTTTCCATCCATATTAAATACACATTCGTTATTTACATGTTAGATGTTGGTCAAGTAAATAAACTTTAACTGTAATTTTATTACAGAAACTCTTCATATTATGCAATAGTATTATTTATTAGTAGTTTACATTTTCGCAACATCGCCTTTATAACAACTTACAAACTTAAAAATTACTTTTAACAGTCTGAGACTGTGAGGTTCATCTTATTATCTTTAGCATAAACAAAGCCATAAAAACTACTTTTGCATTACTCTTTCAAAACAATAAACAAAGCTCTGAATCTTTAATTTTATCTTTAATCTCTAATTATATTAAGTTGAAGACTGTTTTTATATTACCTGATCTGATTATGCTAGTGCTCAAATAAATAAATACTATTTGTTTATTAACACTTTTTTATTTCTTTCAGACTAGACGTCGAGTTAACCATGAAAAATGTAAGGCCATCTACAATGAAGATATGGAGAGAAAAATACAATTTGTATTAAGAAAAAATAGACATGAACCCTTTCCAGGATGTTACTGAATGAAAGATCAAATGTAAATAGTAGATTATAACCACTCATCATGTGAATAATTGGGATAGACCTGCTTAAAAGTTGAAAAACATGACATTGTGAGAAAGACCTCTCCAAAAAACTCAATGTAAAAAAAAACTACGATTCCAGAATCAAAATTAAAGATATTTAAGATACCTAAACATCTAGAAAATTATACACAAACAAACATTTAAAATAATTACAACATAAGAAAACTTTTGAAAATGTGTCAGTTTGATATCTATTAATACTTTTTCTGTTATAGATTTTATATTTATTTTAAAGATACCTAGTACTTAGTAGTACCTTCTAAGAATCTGTCAGTCAGTGTCAGCTTCAGTGGTATGGTCCATAGTTAGGGCATATAAGAATATCTTTTTAGGAAGACTAGTAATGGATGTATAAGTGGGTGTAAAATTGTAATAAATAGATATTTGATATTTTGTTTTATTTTTATTGGAATGACATGACAAATATTGGTTAAAACATGAGCAATGGAGGCTTTTAAGACTCTTAATTACCAAATATTTAACAAAACCATTTTATTTACTATTATTATTTGAAAAATTTATAATAGTAAAAATTTTACTTTTGCCCCTTGAACTTGCAGGAACTTGTGTATGGTTCAAGGACTTGGTCCATAGGGTCTGTCACGTACAGTCTTAATACAGGGACCAAATATCATTGTCTGTCAGGGATGATGCTGAGGTACTTGTTCTTTGAAACGTACAGTATGGGTTGGCCAAAGATTTTGATGCCGGTAATAAGAGTTGAAAAGAGATTTTTTTAACAAAAACTCTACAACTACAATAGGCAACCACCTTGTTCACAGATGTGGCTCCAGACGACTTCTTCCTTTTTCTTAACTCAAATTACCACTTTGCAGCACAACTTTTCATTCGTTTTTTAATTAACATTGAATTTGTAACATACATAATATCTTCCGACCATCACCTGTACAACAGCGACCTGAGATGTACTTTCCAGTTTTACTGTTTGTATATATTCAAAAAGATTAAAAATGAAATAAAACTGGCAAAAACAGTCCATTTACTCTTAACATAAAAACACATAGCAAAATATTTACATGATACTTAAAATAGAGATATTGTCTGATACATAAAGTTTCCACATGATACAGAGCAGGGCGTCGCGCGGCGACCGCCTCCGCCGTCAGGCGCGGGTGGGGCAGGCGTCGCGGCGCCGCACGTAGTGGCGGTAGCGGTGGCAGCGGTGACACGTCTTGATGCCGCAGCGGTAACTCAACCCTCCCTGGGGCTTACCTTTGCAGTATTTCAAACCACAAGGATACCAATTTACGCATACCTGTAACAAAACAACAACAGTTAGTAACATTTCTGTTTTTTCTATTGTCTAAACGCACGCACTGTATTTGTTCACGATTAGGTAGGATAGGCATATTATCACACAGTTGAAGGTCCAGCATTTCTAGCATTACTAGGCCTAAAATCTGGTAGCCATTTAATGTAAAATGGTTTTGTAAGACTTTTTATAAGCGCAAGTAAGGAAGTCGATAAAATATCATACCTCCAAATGGCATATACAGTCTTTAGCGGGATCAGGTTCGGACACGCAGGCCGCTAGAGGAGTGCCCTCTGATACGTCTGAAGCGAGGGCGTGTGCAGGGAATGGAGTCACCACTGACGTGTATGATGATTGCTCTAAGCCTGATGATAGAAATTTATTTAAATTCGGGATTTTCTGCATTCCTTGCAACATCTATTAGTGGACCATAATCAAACCCAACCACATGCTTAACAGTTAAAAATTAAAAGGTAGAAATTCAACATTAACAACATCAAAAACATCAAGAACACACCAAATATGGTGACATTGAGTGGGGCAAGCCGGGCAAGGCCTTTGGCTACCATGCTATAGCAGTTACTATCAATAACAAATTCATTTATGAATTAAGCTTGTACAGGAGTGATTAAAACTTCGACCATCACATGTTAAAATAAACCATAACATTTATTTCTGTAGCTTCTGTTTATCACCCTCTGTAATCTCTTAAATTTACGTTGTCTACATCTGATCCTGAGACCTGACGAGATTACATTTGCTAGTTACAACCTACTTTTGTAGAATTATTACATGTGCTAATGCTCGTTTCTGAACCATCAAAGATTCTGAGTGTGTTATCTAAAGTGAATAGCTTAAAAAAACTAGTGCACAAGAGAAGCGTCCTACATTTTATCCTGTCGATGGGAAGATGGAGTGTAGCGTACCTGGTCTGGGCGCCCATCGCGCCAAGTCCGCGGCTCGCAGGTAGAGCTGGTCCCGGGCGGGGCCACAGTGTCGGGCGGCGGCGGGAGACAGCAGCCGCGCGGCCCTGCCCGCCCAGGCGGTCGCGGTTGTCTGTCGCCAGCCTTTATCTTCTTCCGCCATTCGAACTGTGCCAGGGTTTTTCTGGGTCACCAAAATTGTGTTAGCAGGCATATCAATTTTTATTTGTGCCTCCTGAAGGCATTAACTTGAAGATTTAAAACAAAATTTCACAACTGCCCAGAAATCTCAATTTAAAATTTAATTTCTGATCTATTGCTGCTATTGCTATTGTGAGCAAAATTTTATTTCTTTATTCCATTTTATATTATGTATAAATAATTTCATATACAGGTAATCCTCCTATAACATGATATTTTACAACACAGTTCCATTCTAACACCAAAAGAAAAATTCCCCAAACCCTCTTATAACACAGTACTTCTGCAACATAACAATATATGGGAATAACCCAAATATTACCGCTAATTTTTTATGTATAATAGGAAAAAAATTCATACAGGCATAGTATGCAAAAGTTTTATAGTATTCAAAGTATACATTTCATTCAGAAAAATTACTCTCCTTTATGGCTGGCTTCTAGTTTTATATAACCCGTTTTTACACAACAAGGACTTTGTAGGAATGTCTATCAGAACCTCCTATAATCTTAAATGGCATATTTATATATGCAATATTAAATTGCATATTTATATATGCAATATTAAATTGCATATTTATATATGCAATATTAAATTGCATATTTATATATGCAATATTAAATTGCATATTTATATATGCAATTTCATAAATGTATATGTAATTTCAAATTTTAGTCATACTATAATCATGATTTACCTGTCTCAGCTTCGCCATAGCATCGGGAGTAATAAAATCTGCCTGTGCAGCATGTGTGAGGAAACACAGGGTCTGATGCCCACTCTGGCCTAATTCCTCTTCACCTGGCAATATCAGCTTCATTGCTTCCACTTCCTGCAGTTTGATCAAGCAAAATTGTATTTATTCTTTTTCTATTGCTGAGTATGTAGGTGGTCTGCAATCTTCATGATGATAGGTCATCACCATTAATCATACAAATTAGCACTGCTGGAGAATTATACCTTACAAGCTCCAACCCGTGCTTGACACTTGTAACTTAAAGTCCACAGACACTAATATACTTACTTAGCACCAGGTTGTAGATTGGAGTGAAATAGTCATAATATATTAGAAAATCAAAGAAATTAACAAAACACTTAATCTCACAAATTGATGAGACCAATAATAATTTCAAGAAATAATGAAAGTTCAGCTCCAGATAGATCCTTGATACTAAACATTGGTTTATGATGCTAAAACACCGAGTCATGTTTCAGACCGATTCACAAATAATTTCTCATACTGCATACAGGGTTCAAGTTTGAACAGCATGTTTATTTTAATTAGAAGTTAGTGGTCACGTATCACGAAAGTTTAAAAATACATTGTGCATTGAATTTAGTGTGAAAGTAGCTTATTTTCAGTTATACTAACATTTGTAAAATCAACAAGTTGCGATACATATACTCCATCCAGTCGCATGAACTCTAATGTAATAGTGTCTTCGGAGACGTTCGCCGTTATATTCTCCTGCATAACGTCGCCACCCTGTAACACAAACGAAAAATATTGAGAATTCAGTCTTACTAAGCACTAGTCATTGTGGTTCCATGAATTAGTACTGCATTTTTATCATTGAATTTACCATATTAAATCTCTATCTAAAGGAATTAATTTTCTGTCTATCGGTTGTCTAAATAAAACATTAAATTGATTAAAAGACATAATTTATTCTTACCTGATTCCTAACATTTATAAGAAGTTGAAGATTAGTTGCGGGGATTAAAAAACACGTAAAAATTATTTTACTTGCTATTATTCGCATTTTTACAATTTTTCGTATAAAGTTTTAAAATCTTATTCTTATGCACCTAAGTCAAACCATTTTCATTTTAATTTTTGGGGCATTTTTTTGACATTATGTATGATGTTTATAAGATGGCTAAGGAAATTTTGTACTGTATACCGATCATTCTTAATCATCTTTTAATATATATTTTTTTAAAACAATGAGAATACTTTTAATCTATTTTTTACAAAGAAATATAATTAAAACAAAGTCTTTTAAATTATCATAAAAAAAAATCTTAACAAAATTCATAAACGTATAACTGAACGTTACGGTTGACGCAGTATTTCGAAAACATAATTTAGTTACACTTAATGTGGTGTCAATAGTTTCTTAATTATTGTTTCAGATAATTAGCATTTTCAAGATTGTGTAGTTTTTGGTTTTTAATCTATTTTCGTATATTGATTATGAAAATTTCGTTATTTGTGTTTAGACACAAACCAATTCGGATAATTTTCTTTTTGAGGTCACTCCACATTACAACACAACTGCCCGATACGCAACCGAACAAAACACGAACGTCACCCGAATCGTAAAGAAGGCGAATTGCAAAGAAAGACAATCAAGACAATAAAGACAGCTGTCGCCCTGTCGCATCATTTTCAGCTGATTTTTGTGTACTCATCACGCTGGTCACGAAATCCTGCTCAAGGTTCTTCAAAACCGAAGTCGTATAACGTTATTAACAGTAAAGCTAGAATCAGGTGCAAGGTCGAAAAGCAAGGACAAGACGGAGTGGACATTTTGCAGCGTCGAACAAAAGGAGATGGTTGAGTGAGTGCGGGTGGTGGAGGGCGTGACGTCACTTGAAGGCAGCGTCTTGGCCGATGCGGTGGACGCGCCGGTGATCTTGGGGCGCGCACTCGCGGGCAGCCTGGCCTCCAGTGAGTCGGGAGACGAGGGCGCAGGGCACCGGCCGCCGCGCAAGCGGACCCGCAGGCTGTCTCCGCCCGCGGCCATGCATCAGCCGTGCGCCAATGGCGCGCAGCAGCGCCATGTTAACGGTGAGGCCACCAACGGCGAAGTGCCCTCACGCACCATGGCACAGACTGACCAGGAGATAGTGCGACTCATTGGACAGCATCTTATATCCATTGGACTAGAGTGAGTATCTTATATGCACAAGCCCACAAATAAAAAACTAGAGTTAGACATGTAGTTTATGTGGTAAATTGATCTAAAGAGGTCAAGTACAGAATCTTTCTTTGTTGTCTGCATTTACTAATAACCAACTTTAAAAAATTAGGTTTTTTGTGGAGCATCTGTTGCAAACATTGAAATATGCATAATTAGTATTAGAAACTTTATAGAACAGACAACAAGAAAAAAAAAACAACGTCTGTTTTAGTAACACTTTACATCTTTCTTTGACAATTAGTAACAAATAACATTGAATTTGTTGTCTGTTGTAGTCCTAGGGTACCTCACTATACATAGCGCCCTCACAAGCTGTCTCCACTTCACCCTGTGCTTGCTACTCTACTTTTATTGTGTTTACAATACAGTTGCAAATATTTTTCAGTATAGTATTTAATTAGACTGCGTGAGGACTAGTCATTATGGTGAACTTTGGGAGAGGCCTATGTCCAGTTGGGCTGACGATGATGACTTAATTAATGTTAACTGTTTCAAGAAAATCAATTACAGTCCAAGAGAAATGCTGATTGGTTGTACAATTCTAATTAGATCTAAACAAATGTATCACAATACTGTGTAGGTTTTCCTGTTTGTAAACTTGTATTGTTGGCATTGGCCAATTCAATACCGATGATTTGCATAAGCCATCAGACACAAGATTTGTAATGCTAAGCAATATATCAACCTGTTGTTCTAGCATAAGATTAAAATGCCTTAGAATAAATATAACAAATCAATTGCAATAATTTCATTAACATTTCTAATTCAATAGAGCTGTTCAAAAACTGACATCCTATTAAGTGACATTAAAATTGTCATAGCAGTGCTAAATGTTAGTTTCCACAACTATATGTTGCAGTCAAGAATTCAAAAGATTGAAACAAAGCAATGAGTATAAACAAAAATAAGTCAATTTTCAAAAAATAAAGAAAAGTAATTAATTTAATCATGGTATTTGAAAAACAATCAATAAGCTTAGAGTACATAGAAATATGTACTCCAACAGTTTGCTTGATTTTTTAAAAGGCATTAATTGTGGTTGATTCTTACTAAAATGAATAATATCCTTATCATACATGTGGTGATGTTTTATCAAACATACCTCATACATGGTTAGACACTTATAATATTCATGTGTAAGAATGAAAGATTGCACTGGGTGCAAAAAAATTAGAAGTTTTCCAAATGATTACTGGATTGATTGGTTGCAGAAATAGGCAGGATGATGCTGCCTGTATGCTTATGATACCTTTTACAACCAGCATAAAGACATTATGATAAAAATATTCAATGCATTCAGGATTCCAATAAAATGCTTGAAAGTTTAATTTCTTTGCTTTGCGAAAACTGCAACTTCATCTGAGACTTAGATCTTACCTGCTGATCAATCTGTTTATCTATATATCTAAAGGTGCTATTCAAGTAGTATAATGGCCATGGGTACTGCAACAAACAAACACTAAATGGTCTGTAACTTGTCATGAAAAGATAAGGTAATTGGTTACTTTTATTTATTGGTTAGCCAAGTGAATGAGCTCACTTCCCCTTGATATTTAATGGTTATCTGAGGCTGCGATATGAGACATTACATGGAGAATTATGCCACCCATCTGCCTTACTTTGAGATATTGTTAGTACTTTCTGTGTTCTAAGAAATATATCTGTCAAGAAATATTAAAAAATGTTTGGACTACAGCTAGCACATTTAAATGTTGACGAATTACACCTTAGTATGTAACCAGGCAGAACGAAATTGAAAAATTTTAATAATAAAATTAGAATAATTAGCATGGGATTTTAATTATGTTCGCCTCTGTCCTGTAAAGGCTATGATATTTTTTTTACCTACTATATCGAAAGTTCTGCTTGATCAAGATTTCTTGTCTCGTATATTAGATTATGCTGACACCGATCATCTTGATCTCACAAAGGAACAATTTATTAAGCTTGAACATATTCAAAACTATTTCCGTAGGTTTGTGTTTCGGTTTCGCAAACATGATCATGTCTCACGATAGTGCGCGAACCTCAGTTGATCATCATTCGCTGTCGTCGGAATGCTTCCAAGTTATAACTTCTTCATAACGCTGTATTTCATTCATCGTCACTGCACTACCTCTTGAAACGGTTTGAACTCCTCGACTTGTCCTACATTCACTTATTGAGGTCATCAGATAATTTATTTCTGAAGGTAATTTTGCAATAATACACAGTGAGTTTGTCTGTTTGTCCAGGCGCAGTGCTGCCCTGCTCATGGAGGAGTCAGGCCTCCACTTGGAGCACCCCGCAGCGGCCACGTTTCGCCAACATGTGCTCGCCGGAGACTGGGTGAAAGCTGACCACGACCTGCGCGCCTTGCACGAATTGCTCAGGGACTCGCCGCTCGTCGATCCTCATAGCCTCACAGTGAGTTATACTGATTACTACTGACTACAGTCAGAGCGCGAGCTCTGAGGAGGCGGGCGGGCGCGGTGCACGCTTCATATCCCGCACTCTCCCAGTACTAGTGTCGACCTTACCGTCAGAGAGCGCTTACCGACTCGTTGCTTTTAATTTTGCGATAGCAGTGTTATTTAGGTGTGTTTTCTACTGTAAATAGTATTTACACTTATAAGTCTTTTTGTTTTCACAAATAGCTATTTAATTTGACGAAAAAGGAATGGCGAGCATTAGCATAATAAACATGTCTTAACTTTAGAGGAACATTACTGGCAAAATGATGACTTAATGCTAACATCCTCATGTTGTCGAATCATTTATTATTGAAGTACGTGAGGAGAGTGACAATAGTACATCAAATTCTTTAAGTACTGATTAATCTGATTGCCATAGTAATTAATAATATTTTACGTTCATTTTGTCCAATAAGTATCAGTTCATTAAATTAAACTCATACGTGATCAATTGCTTATTTATTTATTTGAAGTACATAATACCCTCATAGAATTGTTTTATAATTTACACTCGCACGGAGGCTTAAGATGTGTTAGTGTCGATAGCGCAATATCGACTAATTACAACACTAGCTCATTACGTCAACATTCCTTAACATTCCTCGGAGCTCGCGCGCGGACTGTACTTAGCTTGAAATTTATTATTAACAAAATATACTTTGTTTAAACTAAATCGTTGTAATGTTGTAAGAAATGTCTTGTGTCAAGAATTTCATGAACGCCGTGTGTTTCGTCACAGGAAATGAAGTTCCTAGTCCTGGAACAGAAGTACCTAGAACACCTGGAGGCGGGGCGGCTGCTGGACGCGCTGCACTCGCTGCGCAACGAGCTGACGCCGCTGCAGCACGACACGGCGCGCGTGCACCGGCTGTCGGCGCTCATGATGTGCGCGTCCGCCGGGGAGCTGCGCGCGCGGGCTCGCTGGGCCGGCACGGGCCTGGCGTCGCGGCAGGCGGTGCTGGCCAGGGTCCAGGTGCGCGCTTACACAACAAAACGACGAATAGTAAAGGCACTTTATCTGCCGCCCAGTTTTTAGTTGCATTTGGCTGTGTGCAGGCAGCGAGTTGTGAATGGTTGAATCTAAGAAATATCACTTAGGTTTTATAACATAATATTTTCAGGATTCAGCTGTTTCCACTAAGTTTATTTCGTGAAGTATTTCCTCATATCCGATATATATAGCTTGTGTTGTTTATGCCTCATGATATTATGTTTTTTTTCTTTTTTTTCCTACCTATGCTGATAGCCTTGAGAGGCTATTTCAGCTTCACCCTAACGTGTAGGTGAGCTCACGGGGCTCAAACCGGAAGTGTTGCTAACTGGCCCTAGCAAAAGCAATGCTTCGCAGAATCTACCACCGGATCGGAAACGCGACCCAATGAGAAAATCCGGCGAGAAAGTCCGTGGGCTGTGTCTGTGGGTAAAACCATATTATGCTCATGGACATGCCAAGCTCAGCCACAGTTCGGCATTGCTTATACTTAATTTATACATTTGATTATAAATATGCGCGTGACTCCTGCCGTACCGATGGTACGAAGCCGATAAAGTCGAAATGCCAACTACAAAGTTTAACGCCATTGGACGGCAACACAGAGCAACCCCTCGTCGCCGCCCTCACTACCTCCGCCACTACCACTACAAACATAATATATATATTATAGTATTCAGATGCTACCTTTTAGGTCTATGTAATTTTGTATTTTACTTTGGCGGGCAATAAAGTACTTTTTAGCGTACTTAGTATTGCGTCCCGAGTAGCGGCGGCGGCAGGTTGCAGTAAGGTCGGTGTGCAGGCGCAGCTGCCCCCCGCGCTGATGATGGCGCCGGGCCGGCTCCGCGCGCTGCTGGCGCAGGCGGCGCAGCACCAGACGCAGCGGTGCCGCTTCCACTGCGCGCCGCGCCCGCCCGCCGACCCCGAGCGCATCCCCTTCACGCTGCTGGCCGACCACCACTGCTCGCCCGACGCCTTCCCCATACACTCCCTGCAGGTACGGCGCCTCCGCGGCCCGGAACCCATGCATACTAGTTGTCGTGCCGGCCTCATGCCCGCCCAAATGGAGGGTCGGCGCCTGACCACCGACAGCTCGTCAATAACATGTTCATATCGTCGGGGCGCTAGGGAAGCTACCAGAAGATACTGATGAGACATTGTACACGCACGTAAGTCAACCAGACAAGTGCAGCTCGCGTCCTACAGCTATTTGTTCACGTTCCAGGTACTGAACGAGCACTGCGACGAGGTATGGTACTGCAAATGGTCCCCGGACGGCCTAAAGCTGGCGACCGGCTCCAAGGACAACACGGTCATCATATGGGACTTCGACCCCGAGGCTAAACGACTCTCCTTTAGGTGACGGAAGCTACTTGCGATCTAATCTGACGAGATTTTTGTTTTATTGTGTTCGAGGGTAGACGAGCATGTGGTTCACTTAATGGTGAGTATTAGAGATGCCAGAGGGGTGGGGTGCCCGGGGCCCGCCGGCAACACGCGTGAGATCCATGTGCGCCACATGAGGTCTGTCTTAACCAAATACAACCTAAATATAATATTAATTATTCATATATACCTAGCTATTGAATCAAATCAATAGAGTGGACATATCATATTATGTTATGTAAAGGCGGGTACAGAATGTCCGAAGTGTAACTGCAATGAAAGAATTTGCTGTCCACACTCGCCATGCGTCCTGCAATGCGACACAAGTCCCATAGTGATGAAGCCGTGCGCGCCGCGATCCGCCATTGATCAGTTTCTTCGACGATCACAACAGATGCGAGTGGGTCCATGTTCGGTTCGTGCACGTTCGTCTGGCGTTACAGCAGTCTGTACCCTGTTTTATTTTTCGCGCCCTGAGCCGAACCTCTTACGAGGTCTCCGCGTCTAGGGGGCGCACGGGGTATGCGGGACTTGACGATCTGCAAAGTGTTGGGAGCAGACCGCGGGCCCAAAAAATTTTAGGGCCCACACACTAAACGACTCCCCTGCACTCTTACACCCGACGTCTGATCTCCGTCCGGGGTCAGAACTCGGTCAGAGTAGGAGGGTTCCCGCGATCAACACTACAACCAGACACGCGGCGCTCCCCCGAGGACGCCCGACCGACGAGGGACGTCGCGGCGATAGTCGACGACCAACGACGCCGGCCTCCGCGGTACGGCGGCCCAGCCAGGCCGCGAGGGCGGTGCCGCTGGAGTTCTGGGATACCTCGCTGGGTCAGAACCAGCCTGCCGGGTCGGAACGCGATACATCGCCGACCGCTTAATAACGAACATCAATCGAACATGGGAAATATTATATACATATTCAGGACGCTTAATAAGCACACCAATGTATGTAGTGTTTACTGTAAATTACAGGAAGTCCCTAGAGGGCCACACTTACGGCGTGTCGTTCCTGGCGTGGAGCCCCGACGGGCGGTACCTGATCGCCGCGGGCCCCGAGGACTGCCCCGACCTGTGGATATGGAACATGGAGACGGAGCTGCTGCACCTGAAGATGACGCACTCGCAGGAGGACTCGCTGACGGCGGCGGCGTGGCACCGCGCCGGCGACAAGTTCGTGTGCGGCGGCGCCCGCGGACAGTTCTACCACTGCGCCCTCGACGTACGTCGAGCCCTCCAACTACTCATATTTACTCTTTACCTATGAATTTGCCGTTTACTACACAGAAAGATAACGCTCTAACCGACGTCTGTAGCGACGGAACTTGTATTCCATAAGTACGTGTATTTTTATCGTGGCCGTATTAGCGATAAAGATACAAAGATAGTTAAAACAAAACTGACTGACTCGATGATGCAGTAATTACTGACTGTTGCGCCGAGGGTCGTTTGCTCTTTCTCCGGGTGTTCATTATCTATATATGTATTTATATTTAAACGTATATACCGGACCTACGACCGTGCGGGATTTATTCATACAAACAAAACATTAATCGTTAACAAATGACTCAATTTATAAATAAAATTCATGTGAATTTAGACAGTATTTTGTGCTATACACACATACATTACAAATGGCCAGTGCTGTAAAACGGCAACTTCATAGCTAAGACGTATTATTATATTCATTGTCTTAGAAATATGTGTTTAATTACCTTTGAACAGATTTTTATAAAAAAATAGTGCGCGCGTAACTTTGTGAACTGTTGTGGAACAAGTGAAACTTCTTTTGCCGCGTGTAGTATTATGGTTTTCTTCACTTTTCATCCTTGAATCAAATTTCCCTTTTAATGAAGAATGCTGTGTATCAGAGAAACGACCTCCTCCCCGTTTATATATATTTTAAATTATACATAATTTTTTTTTAAATCCTTTGTAGAAAATAAACATAAGAAAATAATAACAAGCCATCTATTGGCCGACGCCCGTAAACAGGATGTGTATAAGAGAAACGATTTAGCTCGCTTTCTCCCTCTCTCCCTGGTCGAATGGTTCCCGAGACGCTGTCTATTTTCTTACTCTCGCTCTTCCTAAATTGTATCTTTTCTCTCTAGCCGTAACGAATCTGTCGTGAGTTAAATTTTAGTCTCAACGCGCCTAAAGAAGTTTCACTTCAATAACATGTTTCCAACTTTGAAACCCCATTTCTCCTTTAAGGGATGAAACTTAGGGATAAATTCCGATAGTGCGTGATCCGTTCGCCCGGACGCGGCCGTGTTCCCCTGACCGTCCGCGTGAGCAGGTAGTCGTTTGCAGGGCACACTGCTGAGCAGCTGGGACGGGGTCCGCGTCAACGCGCTGTGCTGCCGCGAGGACGCGCGCTCCGTGCTGGCCGCCGACACGCACCACCGCGTGCGCCTCTACGACTTCACCGACCTCACCGACCGCAACCTGTACGTCACGCGCACGCACGCACGCACACGCGCACACACACGCGCACACGCACTCACACGTACATGTCTCGGCCTATGGCTCATTGTGTGAAAAGTACAGGTTTCTTGAAACGATCCCACGTCCCCCATTGCGCACTAGTGGAGCGCCGCGACTGTGCCCGCTCTCATCGCAACCGGAGGGACGGCACAGCGCACAGGGGGGAGGGGGGCGCGTACGTAGACAGTAACGAGCCCGTGTGATTGCTGCAGAATACAAGAGGAGCACGCTGTGATGGCGATGACTGTGAACGCAGCGGACAGCCTGCTGCTGCTGAACGTGGCCAACCAGGGCGTGCACCTCTGGGACATACGTGAGTTCGCACCAACTATCCTGTTAATGATATCAGCTTGGAGCCCGCGCTCGTCGAGGGGCAGCCGCGGACCTCGCCCCGCTCCGATGCTCCGTCGAGATCAGCAATAATTTGCATCTCATGTTTTTATTATTATTTAATAATTTGCATTTGGTATACATAAGCTCTATAGCTCATAACTGCCAAATGTACCTTAATACTCCTGCTCTGTAACAGGAGCCCGAGCTCTGGTCCGACGTTTCCGTGGGTTGAGTCAGGGCCACTTCACCATCCACGCGTGCTTCGGCGGTGCTCATCAGGACTTCATTGCTTCTGGCTCAGAAGATAACAAGGTACTGTATACTTTGCTGTTTCTTTACTAACGGAGATGACACCAACACAAACGTCCCGGCCGTGAGTTCTGGGGCTGACCCGAGCTGACGAACTATTGACAGTGTACTTATAATTAAACTTTGAACATGTTGGTTTGCAGGTTTACATCTGGCACATGAACGGCGAGGAGCCGGTGGCGGTGGTGTCGGGGCACACGCGGTGCGTCAACGCGGTGTCGTGGAACCCGGTGCACCACGACGTGCTGGTCTCCGTCTCCGACGACTACTCGCTGCGGCTCTGGGGCCCGCGCTCGCATCGCTGCTAGTACCCTCCGTACGTACACACGCGCGGCGCCGTGCCCCCCGCCCCCGCCTCCTCGACTACTCGCTGCGGCTCTGGGGCCCGCGCTCGCATCGCTGCTAGTACCCTCCGTACGTACACACGCGCGGCGCCGTGCCCCCCCGCCCCCGCCTCCTCGACTACTCGCTGCGGCTCTGGGGCCCGCGCTCGCATCGCTGCTAGTACCCTCCGTACGTACACACGCGCGGCGCCGTGCCCCCCGCCCCCGCCTCCTCGACTACTCCTTGCGAATCGTTTTCTCTAATCATCTTCCGTTCGTTGCAGATGTCCCCGAGCGCCGCCCGCGACCGCCACGAAGCCGCGGACCATAGAGTATCTTATTTAAGTCTCGACTAACTTAAATTAAGACTTCTAATATTACGGACAGAGTTTAAAGATATTTTGTAAAGATGACCGCTTGTGTCTTATCTTATCGAGCGCTGAATCTCGGTGAGTTGTTTGTACTTTCGAGTCGACCGAGGGTCCGGCCCGCGACCCCCGCCGCTCGTGGAACCTCATTGTAACTGTTCAGAACGACTGTTCAATATTTCATTAAATCGGAGCTAGTTTAGTTTTATTAAAATATTGTTTGTTTGGCTCATGACAGTTGTTACTGTGAATGTCCTCATGTGCTGTATCTTTCAAAAGCGCGGGAAGGGAAATAAAATTGCCTTTAATGACAGCGAATTGTGTATCTTCGTGTGTTTGAAAGTAACTATCGCGTTAAACATTCGGTGAAATAAAATGTAACGTCAAAATTATAAATAGCGACTACGCGACGTGTGCTCATCGCATTTTATGGAATGTATTTCACGTGTTTGTACACGTCCTACTAAACTTTTTGGACTCGAGATGAAAATAGTCTCATGTAATAAAATAGTTTCAATAAGTAAAAATTTTATAGGGAAGAGCATAAAACGGTCCCAGACTGTTCTGGACTCGCCCCCCAAGGTCCGTCGTCTGCTGTTGTTCCGTCAGGGCGCGGACCAGAGTGGTGACGTCAGTGCCAGCTTAACTGTGCACGTACTGAATATGTCGTCTACCCTCACACTCACTCGGGATGACCTCCCAGTGGATCCGGGGCCCCACTCCGACGGTCAGGAGAGGCAGGCACAGCCCATGCGTTCTGTGGGGGACGGTACTAGTGCGAGACTGCAGGCCGTCCCCTCACCCACGTGATTCGCTCGGATGTCGTGAGAATGTACGCGGACGCTGCAGTGCGACTGCTGGATGAGTCCGGCGCAGAGTATCAAACCGCATGTTGCTGCGGGCCACAGTGTGCCGCCCTGTCGACGGACTGACGTTTGCATTCAATTCTATTTTATAGACTCATTTTGATCTGTTTGAAATAGTATGATTGTAGGGATGAGCCAACTGCGGATTGTTGGTTCACCGAGGTCGTCGAAGTTAAATCACGTACGCAATTTTTTTCGAAAACTACTAGAACTGCAATGAAATCTGCGCCGTTGACCGATGAAATTATGTTTTTAATTTTTAGGCATTTTTGTATATTATTTTTAAATTTTTAGATTGTAATCTTAGTTTTTGTAAGTCACGTCTGACGCGCATCTCTGGGGCACGATAAAGCTTCGTGTTAGCTGCAGTCCACGGGCGCGACACAGAGGCTGCACACTACTCTGAGTGCGTCGAGGATCACGACTCTGGCTCGTCCCGCCGATCGAGCAACACTTCATTGTTAAGAGGGAGGGATGTGCGTGAGTAGGGAGTACAAAGGAGTTGTGTTTATTGTACGAATTAAATATAGATTAGAAGAACGGCAAGAACGAAGTCAACTTTGGCTAAGTTTGATTTGTTCTGAATTATAAATATTGATATCAATAAATTTTTTATTGTAAACATTGTGCTGTCTTATTTACATTACACCTCTAAAAATAAATAATCATTTTGTTTATTTTCGATCAGAACATTTCCTAAATGATATCTAATTTTCCATTTATGTAGAGGAGTGCTTCTGATTTTGCTACTGGATTACAAATTGCTATTTCAGATCAAACACTTAATCTTCTGTCTTTATTCACAAAATTAAGATAATGAAAAACTGATTCAAATTAAAACATGACTCATTTACATAAAATTTATTTTTGGAATAAGTTGAGTATGTATATAGTTAAACATAATTTGACATTATACAGATTAATTAAATGAATTTACAATATTAAGCAGGTATTGACATTATACTTGTTTTAAAATATTGCAAGTGGATAGATACCACAACGTAAATAAAGCCCGTCACGAGGCACTCCGTTAATCTCAGGTATTGCACAAATTTTCTTTTTGTCTAACTGAAACTCATAGTGACTGGTAGAAAATGGTTAATAATGGTACTAACCTGTGCAAATTTAAAAGTGCGACTTGCTACTTTACTGATATTATTGTATAATTATAAATTAGCAGTCCCAGACTTCTCAACTAGTTCCAGCAGTGTGTGTAGAGATGTGTCGAACAGTTCACATCTTATTGGCATCTCGAGTGAGTAGAATGGATTCTTAAGTGCATAGTCTGAATATAACTCATAGATCCTCTTTAGGACCACATCAGTACCTTGCATATTAGTGTCTGTTACTATTATAAATTTTACACCTGAAATGAAAATATCACATTATCAAATTAATGTCATAACATAATATTATCTCAGCATTCAAATTATAAAAATTAAAAGATATATTTAGCACAACATAACAAAGATAAAGAACTCCGTTACAAAAATAGCCAAAGCTAGAAAAATTATGGCAAAAAAGGATATAAGAAAAATACATACCAGTGAGTGTTTGAAAACATGACAACTTGAATGTGTCAGCCGTTAAGGATTCTATTCCTGAGGATTTTGGTATGGGACTGAGCTGACTAGCAAGGGCAAAAAGAGGATAGAACATGCTGGCCAGCACTATCTTCTCATTTGTTGTTGCTCTCACTCTACCAAATTTTAGACTCAGAGGATAGTTTTCCTGAAAGGTTTTTATATTTTATAGCAAATGAAAGTAAACATCACTTAAAAATGGCTAATGAAACACTAGGTTACATCAAATGTATTGTGAGTAGTCAAGAGGGGGAGTTACATTGGTCTTTCTTACATTTTTTACTTTTTAACCATACCAAAAGATATAGTGACAAGACAAAACCTTTGACATTGCTGATATCCATGAGTGACAGACCACTTACCATTATGTGTTCTGTAATTAGCTCATCATTGATGCTTTCAGGTAAATAGATGATAATAGTACCTTAGCTTCTATAATATCAAAGACATCTCTATTGTCTTCCGTTGTTCTTCCTGTCACTGGAGATCCATTTACTGATAGTAATACATGTCCAACTAAAAGATGAAATAGTGGTTTTTATTTGTTATTGAACATAGTTAGCTTGAATTTTTTTTAAATCCTATCTTTAGAGCAGCAAGCATTTACATTATGAATGTTACAACTGTTGTGAGTTACATGAAAATTGCTGAGTATACATTTCTTTTCATTTCATTCAAAATTTACTTTAATTACAGGAAAAATATAAATAGTAGACAATTTACCATTAATTCCATCTCTTTGGCCAAATGCCACAACAACTTTTTTATTTTCATACTGCAATTTAATATCAAGGGGAAATCCAAACGTTTTCTCAGTCTCGACTCGAGGAATATTGTGATCATAGTTGTAGATGAGACCACCAGACTTGCTAACAATATAAATTCCGTATATAACCATTTTATTATCTTCTTTAATTGTAGTGTTTTCTACACATATGCATTAAATGTTAAATGTAACTGTGAAATCTACGAAACTCGTTCACAAACTAATTTTAGTAATTTCACGTAAAGTTCTTGAAAATATCACTCGAAATATAAATAGTCGTACATATTTGAACTTTTTATCTTACATTTATAGTTTATTTCTTATCGATATGCGTAGCAAATATGAATATTAAAGAAGGAGCTATTTTTTAATTGAAGTTCCACAAATAGTTAAGCTGAATAGTGAAAAAATGCAAAACAAAACATAAACCACCCAGTATTTGGTGATTATTGTATATATTAAGTGTATAATCTATGTTATTGTCGAAGTTGTCAAAGTATCTTTAATATAATGTCAAAAATTGACATTTAATTTTAGGCGTTTTTTAGTTTGATCCGTGACTAGAGTAAATGGAACGCAGTTTATACGTTCAAAATTGGTTGAACAGAATTATCGCGAAGTGCATTCGCATCGAATGATGCGACAGTGTTGTAGTTCAATCCCGCAGATAGGTTGCAATTTTTATAATGAAATACGTACTTAAAACATTTTCGTGTATGACTACCACGATGAAGGAATAACTCAACCGTATTAATCTTTTTTTTTCTTTTTTTTTTCTTCTTTTGGCAATAGCGTTGACTTTTTGCCAATGATGTAAATTAAAAGATTGGGAAACCAAGTTAAAATAGGATACGAAACACGAGAAACGATCAGATAAGTAGGAAGAAGTTTGAAACGGATAATAAAAATTTCATAAATATATATAAATACACTTACAAATCAAATATTTAAACTTTAATATGGTTCTGAAGGATGAAAGATGACAATATTTTATAAAATATACATGGATATGACGGCGTTAACGATATTTATGTTATATAGCACGTGCAATAGGAGTGACTCACACAAGCCAGGCGCGCCGGCCGTGTCGTTCCACTCGTAAACAACAGCTGCAACAGAAGTGACTCATAAGCCAGATGCGCCGGCTAGTATAAAAAGGCGGAACGTGCCTTGAAATGAACCATCCGTTTATCTCCCCCCTGACAAACCCCTCCTGAGCAGTGACCTCGAGACACTGTTCGGTATGGGGGACGCGGTCATCCTGGCAGGCGATTTAAATTGCCACCACACTAGGTGGAACTGCCATCGCACGAATGTGAACGGTAGGCGTCTCGACGCGTTCATAAACGACCTCACATTCGAAGTATTCAACCCCCCGACCCCCACGTGCTATCCGTACAACGCCGCGCGTCGTCCGAGCACAATAGATCTGGCACTGCTGAGGAACGTAACTCTGCGCTTACGCTCCATCGAGGCAATGTCAGAACTCGACTCAGACCACCGACCTGTCGTCATGCAGCTCGGTCGCCCACTTAACCGCGAGCCAGATACGAGGACCATGGTGGATTGGAAGAAGCTGGGCACGTGCTTAGCTGACACCGCTCCACCAATCCTCCCTTGCGGCCCGGATTCAACTCCATCCCCCGAGGATACCGTCGAATCCATAAACATCTTCACTGATCACGTCTCGACGGCGATCA